GCGGGGGGGGTCAAAGAAGCAGTGGATCTAGTTGTTGCAGTCATGCTTTCAAATCCCACTTGGGAGGCGTCCATGGCTAAATATCGAATTTCTTGCACAGGTTCGTGCTCATCCTTTTATTGGTAACATCCTTGATGTTTTCAGGACTGATCTCATGGTTGAACGTTGAACTTCTGTAATTAATCCAATTTTGAGACACCCTTATGTGCCTCTAACGTCAGAAGCTGTGGATCTACGTCAGTTAGTGTGCAGCATTTTCAGTCTTCTACAGATTTCTCCACAATTCGGGATATACAGGCTTGCTCAGACCCTCCTCTGGCATTTTGGTAGGCACACTCTTTAGCGAGAACCACAGACTTCCCCCCATTGAAAGATTTTAAAAAGATGTGTTTAGACCCTGAACCCATTCGCCACGGTCTTTCTGTGTCATATCGTTTATTGAGTGCTCCGCCTGACCAGTTTTCACCGGTGTATATTTCTAAATGGAAGAGAGACTTGGGCACATCCTTTACGAATAGTCAGTAAGACAGGATATTGCGAATGAAGCATATGGCCTTGATTTCCAGTAAGATACAGGAAACCAGGTTCAAAATCATTTGGAGGTGGTATAGGAGTGTTGATCGTGTTGCACAAGATTTTTCCACAGTGCTGGGGCCAGTCTCAGGGAAAACCCTGCAGCATACTTCCTGCACCCTACTCCATTATCTCTGAAACCTTATGGATTAAGCCTCAGTGGGTTTAAAGCACAGAAGAGATAGCTTGAGGGCCCATTCACACCAGGACCATGCGTTAATTACATGGTTTTGTGCGATGAAGGCACAGCACAACGCACCTACCATGTGTTAACAGTGCAGGAGGTGCAATGCGTTACCACCACATCACAATGCACATTATTGCGGTACTGCGCTTTGCCATACATTCAATAACATAACAGGCAGAATGTGCAAATGAACGGCACCACAAGTGCACCTTCCACGGTAAGTGCGTTACCATGAGTTAATCGCACGGAACTGTGCAATTAATGTGCGGCCCTGGTGTGAATGGACCATTAAACTGAGCTACGGGCTAGAAAAAAATACTCTTGCAGTGAGGCACCTCCACACTGCAAGAATGAAATGTTCATGATTGCCTAGGGTAAAGGAATCTGGTGTAATACTTGCCCTTTTTCTCCAGCAGGCTCCCTCTATCAGTGCATCTCTTCCCCTGAGGCCTCCTCTCTAAGGCACTCCTGGCCGCGGTTGCACACTTAGGGACCGCCCACAGCCTGGAGCACCATGTAGAAAAGGAGGGTCAGAACTTGCCAGAACAGGGAATAGAATAACTAATACAGCCTCATCCTCTACCCACTAAAGTTAACAAACACTTAACCCTTGCAGTGTGGTAAGGCTCACTGCAAGGGTGTTTTTTCCAGCCTGGAGTTCAGGTTTAAGTGAGTTACTATGCATCAACATGCATGATAATTTCAGTCCAACTTTCAGTGAGCAGACAAGGCTAAAAAATTCGGTTGGGGAATCACAAATCAGTTTATATGTTTTCCCTGTGTTACCATTATAGAGACCCCGTTGTTAAACTATTCCTCTATATATGAAAAAAAAAAAAAGGGAGAAGGAACTACACCAATATCTGACAAAGATCATCTTTATTATTCGCAAAGGAAAATTGTTAAAATACTTCTTAAAACATTTAGGAAGACAGGGCTATTCTAGGCCCAAATTAGCTGATTTGGAAAAATTCTCCAATTCAGCTCACTTTCCAGTTCAGTTATGTTGTCCTAGATTGTTCACTTCTCCTGCCTTCTCCAAACTCTTTACCCTTATGTAAATAGCCCTTTAAATATTGCACCATCTATCTGGATCATCATGTTAAATGATCACAAATATAGATCAAATCATGAATCGTACACATGTGACTGGTACCACCTAAGATTCTCTATTAGTTTAAAACCTGAGATCTGCTCAGGTTTCTGCACACGCGGTGCAGTTGGTTGTGCCGCGTTTTTGATGCGTTCCAGGCCGTTTTTGGTAAAAAATAAATAGTTTTTTTTTTTTAAGTTTAACATGGGCTTTCAGTGCGTTCCCGGCATTTGCATGCGTTTTTGATGCGTTTGCATGTGTTCCAGAGCAGGTAAAATAGGGCTTGCTGCAGTTTTTTCACCTGCTCTGGACCTGCACGCTGCATTGCATGTTAATGAGAGGAAGCTCAGAGTGTCCCTATTCTTACAGAGAAGCTCCATAAGGTAAGAAAAAATTGTAAACATTTATTTTTATGTATGCTGTGTGACTAGAAACACAAAACAAACATGTTAGGGGTTTTCTCAAATGTGTCTGCAAAAGTGGAACTACACTTTAAAGTCACAACAAAAGGGTATCTCTTTTAACTGAAACAAAGGAGGTTTTATGTACAGCTACAGAAAGTGTTTTTCTATTGTAAGATCTTTTAAGAAATGGAATTGTATTTCATAGAAAAATATTCTAGCAGATGCAATAGTTTCTTTAAAAAAATATCATTTAATAAAAAGACAAACATTTCTATAGATACTTAAAACAATTTTAAATTGTATTTCAGATTTTGTACCAAATTCAGATTACACCTTTCTATGTTTGTTACATGTCCTCATTCACATACACTATATTGCCAAAAGTATTGGGACATCTACCTTTACACGTGCATGTACTCTTATGGCATCCAAGTCTTAGTCCGTAGGGTTCAATATTGAGTTGGCCCACCCTTTGCCGCTATAACAGCTTCAACTCTTCTGGGAATGCTGTCCACAAGGTTTAGGAGTGTGTCTATGGGAATGTTTGACCATTCTTCCAGAAGCGCATTTGTGAGGTCAGGTACTGATGTTGGACGAGAAGGCCTGGCTCGCAGTCTCCGCTCTAATTCATCCCAAATGTGTTCTATCGGGTTGAGGTCAGGACTCTGTGCAGGCCAGTCAAATTCCTCCACCCCAAACTCACTCATCCATGTCTTTATGGACCTTGCTTTGTGCACTGGTGCGCAGCCATGTTGGAACAAGAAGAGGCCACCCCCAAACTGTTCCCACAAAGTTGGGAGCGTGAAATTGTCCAAAATGTCTTGGTATGCTCATGCCTTAAGAGCTCCCTTCACTGGAACTAAGGGGCCAAGCCCAACCCCTGAAAAACAACTCCACACCATAATCCCCCCTCCACCAAACTTTACAGTTGGCACAATGCAGTCAGGCAAGTACCGTTCTCCTGACAATCACCAAACCCAGAGATGTCCATCGGATTGCCAGACAGAGAAGCATGATTCGTCACTCCAGAGAACACATCTCCACTTCTCTAGAGTCCAGTGGCAGCGTGCTTTACACCACTGCATCCGACGCTTTGCATTGCACTTGGTGATGTAAGGCTTGGATGCAGCCACTTGGCCATGGAAACCCATTCCATGAAGCTCTTTACGCACTGTTGTTGTGCTAATCTTAAGGCCACAGGAAGTTTGGAAGTCTATAACTATTGACTCTGCAGACAGTTGGCAACTTCTGCATGCACTGAATCCACTCTGTAATTTTACGTGGCCTACCACTTTGTGGCTGAGTTGCTGTTGCTCCCAGTTGCTTCCACTTTGTTATAATACCACTAACAGTTGACCGTGCAATATTTAGTAGCAAGGAAATTTCACGGAACACCAGAATCCAATGATTTGGAGGGTGTCCGAATACTTTTGGCAATATAGTGTAGCGTAGCAATTTAAAAATGCTACTTACATACTGTATTAATTGCCCTTTCCTGAAAGAAAGGATTTTCTCTAAACTGAATTTCCCTATGGAATTCAAGGAGGTAGGGAGGTAATGTTTAACTTAATTAACCCTTTTTGCACTGTGCTGGCAGATCTCATCAGTTGTAAGATAGATTTGAACTGTCCTAACAAAGGGTTAAGGATCTAGAGGTTAATGAGAGGAAGCTCAGAGTGTCCCTAGTTTTTCTACGGGGACAACTAGGTTTTTTTAATCACTTTAAAATTGTACAGAGGAGCTCCATAGGCCAGCTACAAAGACATGGGCAAAAGGGATTTTTTTTAAATAAATAATTATTTTTAGGTATGCTGTGTAAATAGAAACATATAACAAACACATATAGGAGTTTTTTTTTATATGCGTCTGTTAAACCACTCTTTAATTCAGATAATTTGTTTTCAAATCAAATTTACACCATGCTTTATAAGGAGTTTTCTTGCCCTGCTCTAAAACACTAGGGTTTTTGATCCCGTGTTTTTTCCAATGAACTATAAAGCTATGTAACCACAGTCTGTTGTAGTAGTCTGAAATCTGAAGTCCTATCTTTGAGATCAATACTGTATTGTGCAAATGCTTTTTGCATTTCTAATGGTTTATATTTAAAAAAAAAAATAAAAAAATAAAAATATGGAAAATGTAAAAAAAATGTTTGAAAACACTTACCTTGGATCTTTTTGAATGCTATCAATAGACGGTGACCTGGCTAATGTTCCCTCTGGTGGTACAGCTGGCCCTGATTTGCTGTAGGGTGAGTCAACAGATGGACAATACTGCAGCTGTCTGTATGGATCTGCGTAATTGGAGCCTGGGCCTGCAGCATAGCTGGCCCTCTGGAAGGTTCCTGTTGCATTCTGAGAGGCATGTTGGCTGCCTGTGCGCTGCAAAGGTACGGAGTCGACACCAGGGGAACATGGGGCTACGACAGGAAAGTAGGGACAAAGTAAAAAACTGAGGATCTGTTCACAAAAATGGTTAACCAGGTCTAGGCAGGAAAAATACACACATATACAGGGAGGCATAAAAAAAGAAGCAGTGTGTTATCTATTAAGACAAGTGGGCAATATTACAATACAAAAATCAACCCTCTTTAAGTATGATTCATTTTATTTTTGTTTCAAAAAAATAAAAAAAATTCTATCAGAAATCAAAAAGTATTCAGATTCAGTATTCACATTTTATTAAAGCAAGCTGTAGATATGCAAATGCTGTACATTACATAATACAGTTTTGCATAGAACAGGTCAAACAAATAAATGGTACAGCGTCAGTAAAGTTTATACACACAATAGAATTTTACACATTTTTATTTCAGGGACTGTAATGAAGAAATATTAATGGTTAGTAAGGTCTATAAGAATTTAATTAATCCAAGAAATGGGATATTTAACAGCAGTAACTTAAAATTAAACAGATTTGAAGGCATAGTGTTGGCAAACTCAGACATATAAAATTATCCTGAATACAAAGTAATTGTGCATAGTCCCTTATAATATCAAACGGTAATAAGATAGAAGAGTGCAAAAATTGTAAATGTCTAGTTTGCTTTTGGGGTGTCAAACATACAGTGGTTTTGTTTGCTACAGTTATGCTACAAGCAAGTACAATAAAGCAACTTCCTCTCCAGCATTAGTCTTTATTAAGTGTCACATCAAATAATAATAATAAACATTTTTTTTCAAAATAATGGTTAAAACTTACTTCAGTGTTATCTATTGTAATCTTTTATTGTTAATACACCTTCCATAAGGAGGGGTCATTTTTTACAGAGTTTATTTTCTCTCCTTGTAGCATAGGATTTTCCAAGATGCTGAATTGTTTTACACAACTGACTTACAGTATTCTCTGCAATTCAAATTCCTGTAATTTTTGCTTTTATTAGTTTGATACATACAGTTAAATACAGAGAACTCCTAAAAGCATACAATCACAAAGACGGTATGTCTAAAAAAAATCTGCAATAACTGGGACATCAAACTACATAAAATTCATACCTCAAAACATTGATTTCAATAGGAAGTAAATATTCATAAATGCAAAAAAAGAGAAAAAATTGCCACATATAGCAATTTTATGACAAAAAAAGCCACTGCAACCTTGATTGAAGTGCCACACTGCTTATATGTGTTTATTTTCACCTACAGCTGGCACCCATAATGTCATGGGATGGGCTTATCTAAACCCAAAACAATATATTGCAGCTTACCAGTGCAGATGTGGTGGCTGCATTACCTGTTTCAGGCTTTTTTCCCCTTTGTTTTTCATATGGTATCCTTAGAATAACACAGCTTCCTTTCCTTTCATGTCTGGCTAAACATACTCACTGTATCTATGAAAACGGCCATGATTGTCGCACAAGCTGGACTTCAAACATGTCTGCCTTAGTTCATCTCAATCACATGGTAAATTGACGAGGCTAGCAGTTTACACAAGAAATATTTTAGCTTTTTTTTCCAGCTTACATGAAGCGACAAGGGTGCTGCATTTTTGGCAAGATCGCCAAGTATTTTCTGTAAATGATAAAAATATTCTTAGCCTGAAAAAAAGAGAACAAATGTTTTTTTTGTATCATCTGATGCCAGGGACATGCAGTTCCAGACGCCGGCAGGTGAGTTGTTTTTTTTACATTTTGCCCTGCTGGGGGCAAGCCGCGACTTTACACACACACAGAGTCAATCTGCAGAGAGACCGGCTCTGTGTCCTGTTATCACTGCGATAACCAAGTAGAATGTTTACATTGCCAAGCCCTCCCCTTCCTCTTACATCAGAGGCAGAGGAGAGTACAGGAACTAATGAATGGAGTCATCCATTCATTAGTGCCTTGTGAATAGGCTGCAACAGCAGAAAAAATCCAAATAAATGTAACCCTTTCAGCCCCCTCCTTTACTGCTTATGTTATCAGCACTCAGACCTGTATATTAACCCTTTTACCTCCCTTATCCTGCACATCTATACATTCACCCCTTCATCCTCTTACTGGATGTGACCTGTACATTAACCCCTTCAGCCCCTCCTCCCTCTTTGTATGGGCCTGTACCGGCGCTCGGGCTGCACACAATATCTTCGGAGCCGCAATTCAGCTGGCCGGCCTCAGAGAACCCTGCACCTTCCTCCTCGCCCGCGCCTTACACTTTGCCTGTGTGTATCTGGGACTGACAAGTTTAATGGACAGGGACTGCTGACACTTGTACTGCCTTCACACACAGGACTGTCATATAATGGACAGGGACTGCTGACACTTGTAGTGCCATCACATAAAGGACACCAGGACTGTCATATAATGATTATATAATGATTATGTTCTGTTTAAGTAGATTGTCATGAGGGACAAGTAGATTGGGCCCCGCATAAGTCCTTGAACAAGTAGGTGTTTTTTTTTAAAATGTCAACACCCCTGGATAGATATAGTAGATAGATAGATAGATAGATAGATAGATAGATAGATAGATAGATAGATAGATAGATAGGAGTGTGCCAATAAGCTAATTTCTTGCTGCTGAAAGCAACCAACCTTCCAACGGCAGTGCAATTTTGAAAATGATGGCAACAATGTTTTTGTATATAACACTATTGGGATTTGCAGTTGATGACTGCTATCAGAAAGTCCTGCTGTACTGATAGGATTGAATTGTGGTCTTTGACTGCCTCGATGTGTTTCACCTCTTCCAGGCTTCCTCAGGAGGTAGATTTTAGAGACTTTCAAGCCAAATCATGTTGTAACACATAAGCAAAACATCAAACAATGCTATAAACTATCAGACCCCAGCTCCCCGAGTGGGCCGTAGGGGAAATAAGGAAGAGAACAACGTCCGAACAGCAGGAGCACACCTCTAGTTAAGAGATCTATTGCAAGGGCTCCTAGATCCGTGTGCCTTCAGACCGCATGTGAATCGCTTGTTCCCCTAACACAAGGCCTGAAAGTCTCTGAAATCTACCGACCTCTTTTTATACCCCCTATTTTCAGCATTTAACCCTTTCATGCCTAGCTTATATTTAAAAAAAGAAAAAAAAAAGTTATTAACCCTTTCAGTCTAAATATCCAAGATTCTTCCTAAGATGCCACCATCATGGAATTATTGCATTTACTACAAATTCTGTTGCCTATGCCTAGTCCCTTCTATGGGTTTAAGCTGAGTGCCTTCTGGTATCTAGTCAGAGGATATATTATTTCCTTATGTGATGGATTTAATTAATCATTTATCTGTATGTGACCATTTTGTTCATCTTTATTTACATCTATGTCCACTGTGTTCTGATGGTGTGTACAACTGTAATCCTTTTTTAACTTTTTAAATAAAAATCTACTATAAAAAAAAATCATTTTCCTAATATATTTGTAGACATTCACATACACATCAAATGTACTTATATTTCTTAAAGGATCATATCATAATCCCTTTGTGCTATTCTTAATTGTTCTACTGGTAATTGTACCAAGCCAAGTATTATTTTCTCCTTTTTCTATCTACTCTGCTTCCCCTAAACTTTCCCATTTTTTGGTTTCCTTCTTCTTTTTTGTGCCATGTTCATTCCTTATTTTCTCAAAAAAAAACAAAAACAAAAGTCTCATAACCACCTTGTCCTTATGAAGGATAAAGAAAGGAGGCTTGCATGATAATGCCACAAATTCTGATACTCTTCTAGTCAAAGCAGTGGGCACAAGAAAAGCTACTTTTTGTGGTAACAAGAGTAAATACATTTCGCTAACTTTTTTGAATGGAAGCTTCTGCAAAACTGGAAGAACTAGGTTGAGATTACAAAAAGAATCCAGCGGAGGGCAACAAAACTAATTAGGGGAATGGAGGACCAGGGCTATGAGACAAGGCTTCTGACCTTAAACATGTTTACGCTGGAATTAAGGAGATTAAGGGGGGATATGATTTTCATGTACAAGATGTTCAATGGTGACAGCAACATTGGCAACAAACTGTTTGAGATTAACTCCATTACAAAGACTAGAGGCCACCACCTAAAGTTGGTGGAGAAAAAATTCCAGCACAATGGGCGAAGAGGGTTCTTTACAGTAAGAGCGGTTAAGGTCTGGAACTCACTGCCATCGGCAGTGATTTCAGCTAAGGGTGTAGATTTGTTCAAGAAACGTTTGGACAATTTCTTGCGGGACCGTAATATCCAGGGATACCAGTATCCCTAAGAATGAGATTATGCGTGGACCTATACGGGTTGGACTTGATGGACGTATGTCTTTATTCAACCCCAAATACTATGTAACTATGATGGAATGCTGAGGAAAGTTCTGAAGATTATATAAAGACTGGTATTGATTTTAAATATGGATTGTTTCACATAAGAAGTTTGTGAGCACGTTGTGGACATTTCCTTGTTTTTGGGTTTTGTTGTCTTTCCCGCTATTTATCATTTTCATTGTGATGATCAAGTATATTAATTGGTTTAGAATGTATCACCTTGGTTTAGAGTAAATCATACAGGGATTAGTATTGGTTTGTCAGTGCTTTATGGATTACATATACGTCTTTTCTTTTAGGTGTAAATAGTAAGGCCTGCGTAATGCAGGCCTTACTATTTAATTTTAATTGTCAAAAATGAAAAACAATTGGACTGCACTTCTACTTGTTTCCAATCTAAGTTTATTAACAATTTTACAAATATATAAAAAGGAAGCACAGGAGAAAGTTCCATACAACAAGGAACAAAAAAAATAAAAATTAAACAATACTATACTGGCAACAATACACAATTCTAAATCACTTGATGATTACATAAAGCCCAAAAGTCAGGGCAGCAAGAATAATACACAAGAAAAGGGACACTACTAAATTAACC